TGATTTGAAGGACACGTTTCACTTCAGTCTAGTATGTGTATTAAGGTGAAATATTTTGGCCTTTCTTTCATATGTTTAAGAATATATTTCTGGGACCACTAGTTAACGTTCCTGTTTGACAGAATGATGTATGTGCACTTCAATGCTTTCCTAAACTATAAAAAAGGTCCCGCTCGTTATGACAGATTAATATTACTTGGGCATTGTAGGTCCATGGTCAGACCTACTGCTCTCAAACTCTGTCTGAACAGCAAGACTAGTGTAGGAGACATCGACACTTTTCTCTGGCAGACTACCTGCACTTTTTACACTTTTATTTTGACAAACATATCTAAATGGGAGATGTTCAAGCGTGGAGGAGGAATCGTATTGATTTGTACGCGGTCAAATGAATAATCTAGGCTGTGCTTAAGGTCATGTGATATATTATATAGAGACCTATACGAGAGACTGGTCCTTGGGAATATCAATGTTGGGTCAATGTTGCAATCTTCGGTTCATTTTCTCCTTAAAACTATTTTGATATCTTTGAAAGCACCTCTCTACCGGGATGTCACTATCATTAGAAAGGTGTTCTTGTTGTGTCAACGCATAATTTGTGGAAAAATGGAAGGAGTGATTAAGTATGGGTCATTTTTCAACTATTGACAAAGAAATATTCTTCAAATACGTCCCCAAAACACCCAACCCAAACAAAGGTTACATAATTATAAAAATATAACAATGATAATATTCCAAGAGCCTCTGTCCAACCATATTCATGATAGCTGGTGGGAGGCAAACTTATTAATCTTGGTTAAACCTTCCTAGATAAAGTTAATTTCGAATTTATTTGGAGTATATAATTACTACCCCATGTCTTCAGAAATAATCTTTTTAGATTGATCAGCCTTAAAACCCAAGAACAACAACAACAAATTCATCCACCCCCTCCCCGATGCTCCTGATGTCGGTAACTGTGTTCATGGATACTGGATGTCTCGCTGCGGCACTCAATCACGTGATAACCATTAAACATCGGTGCATGCACACCGCTCAACAGACATGCACTAACTTTGCGCGTAGTACAGTAGTCTTTGATTACAAATACATTCGTGATAAACAATTATATCAGTCATATTTTCTTGGCACGTCATGAATTAATTACACGACTCCAACAAGTTCTTTCCAACTTATAAGCAGTTTTATTTTAGTGTTTTGATTTTATGATCATCATTGATTCAACCTTGTCATCTAACGATCAAGAGCACGATGTCTACACCCACTCCCATTCAAATCCTACCTAATCATTATTACATGCCCCAATTAAAATGCCCACACTATGCATGTTAATGATTAGTCCACTTAAACGTCAATTAAATCATTTCTACTCCAATGACAACCAAATGATGAGTGTTGAAGCTCAAAGATTGTCCAAATCATTGACGCGACAACCTCTGTTCTTCTACAGAATATCACATTTTTCTTTCTTTATTCAATTATCCATGGTAACGATTCAAGGTGAATTAATAGCCTGGTTTCTGAGCTTGCTCAATTGAGAGTAAAACACACGACAGTATACCTTTTGATCAAATTGTAATTAGATTTGATAAATTGGAATAAAATCATCCTAATAGTGATCAATGTCGCTTAGATGGCATAATTCTGCGTGCTAATGAATGCTCAATGGTAGAGCCATTAGATCATTGAATTATCAGCCCGAGTTACAACACAAACTCTCACGTCCCACAGGTTAGATCGATAAAAAATAATGATACAGAGCGTCCCAATAAAATTCGCACCACCCTAGCCCTGTTCTTCCCAATATAAAACAATGGGGATAATTGTGTTATACAAATAATAAACATAGACATATGTCTTTTTGAAAGAAGCGTAATGGCTCAGTGGTCGAGCAGTGGCCTCATAACGGAAGGTCCCGGTTTCAAAGCTAAGTCGATGCATATGATTGTGTTCTCTGTTTAAAGAAATTGATCATCCATCATCAAGTTCCTCAGATAACGCTTGTGCAAGGTTAAATTATAAAAATAGGGAATTATCAATCACTTTACACGTAATATTAGAGAGACTCGTATTTTGAAATATTGTTAAGTTAAACTGTCTGTTGCTCGGGATTAAACCAAGCTGAAAACGTTTATCATAATATAGATCAATTTTGCTTGATTTTGTGATGTTACTCTGATCTTTAATTTTTTTTTTGGTGGATATAATCTTGGTTTTACTGCCATTACTGACAAATATACCATTCTATAACATGTCATATATTGTATGGTCGGGAAGTATAACGATATCGTTAACTAATATTTTCAGGCATGAGATTTGAATAAATCCAAATTGAAAAATGAAAAACATATCATTGTCTCATGAACATCGCGGTTAGAAAATAAGATCCTAACTAAAGTGGGGGGAAATGGGGGGAAGTTGGAAAGAAAATAGGAAGACTAGAAGTAAAGATACCATCTATGAACTGGAATTCTCTGCGAGAATTATTCTGGTTCCATTATTTCTTGTCTCACCCTGTACAAATCAAAAGCGCTGCCTTAACTTCTGGCAATCGTGTTGTTCATCAACCCCGCTAAATTGTTTGCAAATCTGCAGTAAATGAGCGGTTAGTAAGCCCCGCTATTATGACCTGTCACCGATGATGAGTAGGTATTAATACAAATGGCCTCTAAAGAACTGACATCAAATTAACAGCCTTGATGAGGAGGGAGTAATTCCCGTGTTACAAATTATCCACTCCTGGTCCGTATATTGGAACCAGAACCTGGCATTTTGATGGTGGGTCGAACGCTGGCTGCGCCATAATAAGCGAGCAATGCGTGTGTTAATTGGAATACATATACGGCATTTTAATGACACTTTAATGATTACATGTTGCTAGATGTCACATACAGTCGGTGGCAAGGTGGAAAATGTTTCTTCTCTCATAAACAACGTTATTGACAGAAACAGACCGATTGCCTTTTGGTGCAAACAGTGGCCATATGAAGGTTAAACTAATGATGTTGAAGATGTAACTCTTCGTCTGGAATCTCTCAACTATAGGAACGATAATGGTTTCCGCTCTCCTAATATTTCATTCTGCATATAGTCCCACACGTACTCAAGCTTGTTGCTCAATTATAATTTCGCCCATGAAATACTGACGAACAAACTCACAAATCGTCTCTGAAGAGCCAGAAGGGCGCTGACTCTGTAAAGAAGTACAGGCTTTCAGAAGATAATCTGTTTAGAACCAGGAAGGCGTTTAGTTATCTTTTTTTTTTTAACATCGCGTTAATGGCCTTCTGGTTCCAAACGGAATTTAAGTGCATATATGAATAAGAATTTAAGTGCATATTTTGTTCCGTCTATTTAGCACTCGGACAGCGATATCGTGCGAGATTTTGGTTTTGGTAATTACTACTAGCAAACGTCACAGCGTGTCGAACTAAATGGTAGTTTTATTCAATCAATTTTTTGTTGGCGCCTGCAATAAATTTGTATTAATGAATCAGATTCAATATCAAACCAGTAAGAATCGTGAGAAAATGTTTCAGTCCGTGACAGCTGATGAAATTAACACGTCGTATTTTCAAGCTTATTAAGGTTTTCGATTGTTCAGTAATATTTGACATGGACTATTCAAATACAATAGGATCTCCATTTATCAACAATTTACGGCTTATCAGCCTTCTGTCCGTTGCACAAGATGCGTCAATTTGCTGACGGGGGACTGCGTCAGTGAGTGGCGCTATCTTTAATGCGTCATGTGTGAGTAATGTATTCATATAAAGTGATTCCAAGATAAACAGTGTACGCAATACGTTGAATCACAATATACGGGCTAACTACTTCACAGGCTTAATTAGCGCAAGTAATGACGCAAATGTAATGACGCCTCGTGTGTGACGCAGCTATCTTCCTTTATAAGCTTGAATAGAGTGTGTAATGGCGCGATCGGATTGACGCAACGTGCCCTGTGTCGCTTAGCCGGAGGTGACGAAAGGGTTAAGAATGAAAATCCAAAGCTATGACGTCGCGCGAGCATGTGTAGCACCGACATTTTTGGGGTGGGGTGAGGATCATATAATAATCACACAGTTACTCATAATAGCAGCGGAAGTCTAGTACAAAATTGCATATCGGGGAACTTTTCTTTAATTAGTACCCATGCAAATAATCCCCCCTTTTATGCCGGTTACCACAGGATTCACACAAACATTACGCACACCAAGTACATCACATCAACAAACAATCAATCATACCACGAACACCGAGAACATATCACAGAACATACAGTTACACAATCAAAGCAATCACGCTCATTCAATCATTACACACAAGAGTCTGAAAATCTAAACTATTACTCATTATTTATGCGAGTATATATCGGGATGTCTTTTCCCTTTATTATTTACAACTTATCTACATGCACTTCTATAAAGTCATAGAAGTTTAACAAAAACAATAACATTTAACTAAACTGTAACTAACTACACTAATCCTACAAGGTCATACATAACTTATCACTACTACATTTACATCCTAGATTATATCAATTGGACATGAGGGTTCTGAAATGGTTAGTGCTGAGGCGACGACCTTCATTGTGACGTTGTCTAAAGAGAAGAAATATTAAATATTGTCAGTGACAATTAATATGGTGTTGTCCCAATGGAGGTTGGAGACAAAAGAGAGCGAATAATATCTTTACTATTATTCTCTAAATTAATTATTATTATTATTATTATCCTCATGCCAATACATCAAATCTGAAATGGTTAGTAAATAATATTTACAGAAAAAACATGCAACATATATGATGACGATAGTACTCTCTGTTTAAGGAGGCTTATTTTCATCGGTTAGTAATAATCAGGAATAACTGTAATAAGTTTACAAGTTCAAAGAATGATTCAATAGCATCACATGGTTTAACAGCATGTGATATCACTTTCTCCCATCTCTACAACAACTTTACACAAAATCCGTTTAAATCTCACAACTGCATAACCATCCCATCTCTACAACAACTTTACACAAAATCCGTTTAAATCTCACAACTGCATAACCATCCACTCTTGAGAAATACATAATGCCAACAGTTGGTTATAATTGAGTAAGATATTCAAAAAGTGTAATAATGTGCTTACCTAAAGAGAAGAAATATTAAATATTGTCAGTGACAATTAATATGGTGTTGTCCCAATGGAGGTTGGAGACAAAAGAGGCTGATGATGAGGAGAAGATGGCTGACTTTGAGATGGGTTATGCCATCTCCCAACTTAGAGGTAAAAAGCTTAAATACTTTCATTAATACATGTTCAGGATAAGCATTTAACAATTACATCATACAACATTGATACAGATGAAACATTGTATAATCATATAAATAACTTTCCCAAGTGGAGAAAGATAAACAATCAATAAACAATCATAATTAATACAATATGTATTTATGAACATTAATTCATAGGCCATAACACCCCTAGGCTAAAAGAATGGAGTGACCCAACCATGGTCAATCTTGACCACACATGACTCATGACTCATGTTTCAGGGGGACGGCGATGTTCTCCCCTGGTTCCAGGAACAGTTGGTATACCACATACAAGGCACACGTGTGTACTCGTATGTATAGACTATGGGCATATATATGTACTATGTATTTCCTCACTGCACTGGGCATGTGGAATGTTCAATAAGGTGAAAAGGGCAAAGTTATAAAATTCATGGACTCACATGTAATTTTACAAACATGTGATAAAATGTGTATAACTTTATGTATAATGTTAATGTTGCACCAAACAGGGGCTACATATTCTTCCGCCCTAAAAGCAGATGTCCACATCACGACAACAGCCGACATACAAATATTCATGAAGCTCATTATACACAATGTTAGTGACTCTCTTCGGATGTCACTGTGTGGTCTTCAAGGGTATCGATCGATACAAAAAGTTTCGCAGTCCGTGCCAAGGTTCTCCTGACTCACGTATCATAATGGCGACGCCACTAGTTCATGGTCCTGCCGAATCCATGTCGGTCAGAATCTGTTCAGTTACAGAGATTCATCTCGGCATCCGGTGAACTTGAGATGAATACGGTGAAGTATTGTTGACTTTCCTTGTTCCAATGTTCATCTTTTTGTGTATGTCTACGATGACTTCAGGGTGAATTGCAGCTCCGCGTAGAAGTACTCTCAGCTTCATTGTTTATACGCGATAGGCGGCATCAAAGTTCAGTAAATGCAGAACGATGAGCACTGCATCCCCTAGCTGCAATCATCTTTGGTGGCTGTACTAGGTCCTTGTCGATCCAGCGTTGCAGACCGGGACAGGCTAATAGCTGCATCTCGCAGATTCGATGGCGGCCACAGGTAGATCCCTCCGTCCTAACACTTAGATGTGAGAACCCTCATTCCTAGGACATACCCTAACATTAGCATATTGTACTAGCGTATTAGCTAAGAAGGAATCTACAATTATTAAATACAAAAAACAAACATATCTCGGAAAACCGACGTAATAGTATCTATTGAACTATCCTATATTAACATGAACAAATATAATTAATTACAACAAATCATTCAAAAATGCTCGCATTTGTTGAGCGAGAGCCAACTTAAAATCTACATCGTATTGTTTTCCAGGTTGATCATACGTAAGCCTACTAGGTCCTACACCTTTAGTATTCCTGGTAGATTTTCTTACTTTTACATTTTCATCGACTCCGGCATCCGCACGATCACCATCACTAGAATCACGCACATCCACCTCAACATCCACATTCACACCATTATCAACTGCGTCGCTTTGCGCAACCGTCTGATTATTATCCTCTTCGACAGCATTATCAGGATTATCAAAGTTATTATTTTGAGTGATATCATTCACATTCCTTACATGTTCATGCCTGTCGTCATGGTTATCGTCATGGTGATTTATGTCAATAGCCAAATCGGTCCTTTGATCTGGTGGGTTAATGTCATTTTCGTCAAGTGAGGGGTTATCTGGTGGGTTAATGTCATTTTCGTCAAGTGAGGGGTTAGGGTCTGGAGTATGTTCAATAGGGACAGACTCATTTGGTATGATGAAGATGTCCCCATCGTTGTCTTCATCTTCTTCCTCATTAATTACTGTGTTAGCAGTATTTCTACTACGTGGAGTCGCTTGTCTTTGACTAGTAACTGGAGGCTTGGTGGTTGGCAAGTCAGTGTCATTGGGTCTGTCATTGTCAGGTCCGTCATATGGGAGGAGGAGGTTACGATGGAGGACTCTAGGGGTATCCGTGCTTCCTTCCTTCTGCACGCGGTAGACAGGGGATTCACCTATCTTATGTAGAATGACATATACATTGTCACCCCACCTGTTCGCTAGCTTGTGCTTTCCGCGCAAGTGCACGTTCTTTACCAGAACACGGTCACCTACCTCCAAAACGGGGGCCTTAGCTCTAAGATCATACTGCTTTTTGTTTGCACTACTACGTTTAGCCATGTTTCTTGACGCTATATCATACGCTTCCTTAAGCTGTTCCCGGAGATTCTTGACATATGTTGTCTTGTCCTTCTCTGACGACCACTGGGGGTCAATGCCAAAGGCAAGATCAATGGGCAAGCGAGCATTCCTGCCGAACATCAAGAAGTATGGAGAAAAGTGTGTCGTATCATGCTCGCAAACATTGTAAGCATGTACAAGGGGGCTGACATGTTTTCTCCATTCGGATTTACCCTTATCGGAAAGACATCCTAACATGTCTAGCAGGACACGGTTAAACCGTTCTACGGGGTTAGCTTGGGGATGGTATGGGGTAGTGCGGACTTTCTCTACTCCGGCCATGCTACATAATTCCTTAATCAACTTAGAATTAAAGTCCTGTGCTTGGTCGGTTAAGATCTTGGCTGGCCAGCCATAGTGAACAATAAAGTTCTCCCACAGGGCTTTCGCCACTGTGGAACTACGCTGGTCTTTGGTTGGGACTGCTACAGAGTACTTACTAAAATGGTCCGTCATGACTAGAACATTTTCTACCCCTCCATTGTCAGGTTCTATGCTTAGATAATCCAAACATAGAAGTTCCAATGGCTGAGTAGTCACGATGGTGCCCATTTCTTCCCGTTCCTGTTTCCTTTTCCGCTTTATGCACCTGTCACACTGGTCAATCCATTTCTTAATGGTCGACGCCATAAACAGAAAGTAGAACCGTGTTTTCGCAAGAGAGGCACACTTGTCAAAGCCCAAATGGCCACAGTCATCATGGATTCCACGCATAGCTTGGCCAATGAAGCTATGCGGGATTACTAATTGGAGCCTTACCTCACCAGACAAAGGGTCTTTAGTTTGCCGGTATAAGACACTCTTATGTAGAGCAAACCTTTTCATTTCCCGGAACAGCACACGCAGGTGTGTGGACGCTTCTTTCCTATCTTTAGGGGAAGGGTGAGAACCTGATTCAATGAATGTTCTTACCTTACCAATGTCTGGGTCATCCATCTGGAGTTGGTGCCAATCAGTGTCACTAAGACCTGGGAGAGAGATGTTACCTTGTAGACTATTTGTGTAAGGGTCTGGTATGGACGAGGGTTGCATTGCAAGGCTTGTTGCAATTACAACTGGTGGAGACTGGGTGGGGTATCTAAGGGTATGCTTACCTTGTATCTCACCTGTCTCGTTGGCTGGCTGTACATACCCTTGGAATAACGCTGATACCTCAGTGGTATCCATCTGCTGGACTCTAGACTTTAGGAACTCTACTTGAGTACTTACCTCTTCCTGGATCTGGTTGTCATCTGGTACTAGGCCCGGCCTTCTGCTGAGAGAGTCGGCATCATTCAAGTTCTTTCCTGGGCAGTACCTAATTTCAAAATCAAACACAGACAAGTTTGCTACCCACCTCTGGCCAGTAGCGTCAAGCTTGGCATTGGTCATGACATAGGTTAGGGGATTATTGTCAGTTATGACGATGAACTTCTCACCATAGAGGTAGTCAGCAAACTTTTCAGTAACTGCCCACTTGAGACATAAGAACTCACGTTTCCAAGCGCAGTAATTTCGTTCAGTCTGGCTGAGACCACGTGAAGCGTAAGTAATTACTCGTTTAATGTCATCCTGCTCCTGGTAGAGGACAGCCCCAAGACCAAACCCAGAAGCATCGCAATGCAGTTCAAAAGGTTTCGACAGATCGGCAAAGCCTAGGACTGGTGCAGTTGTAAGCAGCCTCTTCAGTGCGAGGAAAGCATCCTCACACCTGTCGGTCCACTTTTCCTGAAAGGGCTCAAGCTGGGCTCTCCTTACCTTGGAGCGGTCAGCTGGTGTGCTGGATGATCTCCTAGGCATCGACAAACCTACCAGCAGATCATTCAGTGGTCGGCATATCTTGCTGAAGTCTTTGCAGAACCTGCGGTAATAACCGCAAAATCCTAACCACTGTCTGAGCTGCTGGACGTTGTTTGGTCGATGCCATTCAAGAACATCCTCGATCTTGGATGGGCATGGTCGAATCCCTTTACCGCTTATCTCATGCCCGAGATGTGAAACTGTCTGGTAAAGGAAATGGCATTTCTTCTTTTCAAGTTTGAGGCCAAAGTCTCGGACCCTCGTAAGAACTTTGAGAGTACGTTCAATGCACCCTTGCATGGTCGGTGCGTGTATGACAATGTCATCTATGTAGGCAATTGCTTCTCGCAAGGAGCAATCACCTAGGCACCTTTCCACAACCCTTTGCATTTGGGCGGGGCTGGACTTCAGGCCTTGTGGCATACGAGTGAATTCATATAATCCAAATGGGGTATTGAACGCACTGAATTGTCTATCTTCTTCACGAAGTGGAATCTGAAAGAATGCGCCTTTCAGATCCACAACCGTGAAGAACTTGGACCCGTGGAGTGAGTTGAATAGATCCTCCACCTTAGGTATGCTATACGCATCTGGGGTAACTCGTCTGTTTGGTTGACGGTAATCTACCGTCATCCTTAGTTTCCCAGATTTCTTGCGCACCAAACATACGGGTGAGCTGTATGCACTGGTAGAGGGCCTTATCAACTCTGCATCCAGGAGGCCCTGAAAAAGCTGTCTAGCTTCTTCGTACATGTTTTGAGGAATGGGGCGTGCACGAGCATTCCACGGGGTCTTGTCAGTCAGCTTTATTACGTGCTCCACGCCCTTAGCACAGCCGTAGTCATTATCGTCCTTGGCAAATAGCCCGTCAATCTGATCTAGTTGTTTCGTCAATGAGTCAGCAATGACTTGGGAAGTGTCACTAGCAATGTCGTAGTTACCTAACGAGTCGTCATCATCATCTACTTTCTGAGGGGAGGAAGTAAAGTAACATGGTGCAGTCAGCCCTACAGAGTCAAAGTCATAGTCTTTAGTCATTAGTCCAGTCACGTTAGCACATACTTGAGCAAGAGGTCTATCCCACATGTAGGTAAATGCCTCTGCTATTACTTGCCTATTGTGGACAGTAATGGGGACATTTGTGTTGTTACTGATACTCACCTTCACTTTGGCTCTCCTGCCAAACACTTCCTGGATAGCATTTACAACATGAATGTCTTGGTTGCGATGAGGATTCTCCACCTCTTGCACCAAAACATTGTGCTTACCAGGGGGCAGGGAGCTGTACAGGGTTCCAACTACCTGTAGAGCCTGGTCAGGCTCGATTGTGAGGGGGCGTCGCAGTCGACAACGAACTTGTCCTACCTTTCCTGTGGCAGGATCTCCCATCCTCACCTCATATGCAGCCTTCTGATAGCAAGCATATATTGCGGTGGGGATGTCAAGTACTGATAGAAATTTGGGGCCTAATTGTGCCCTGCAGGCAGTTGCAAGGCTACGAAAAACATTAGTTCCTACAATGACTGGGGAGGGGCAAGAGACGCGACAAGTAACGATTATTGCAAGAACATTTACTGGGGAGCCTATACCTACTATCTCTTCAGGGAGGGAGATGGGGATGGATATGTACCCTTCATACAACACTGACTGCCCATTCGCACCTTCAATACGCAGTGACGAATTAGCCAGGTGCTGTAATGGGTATAAACTACTCAGGTGGGAGTCATAGAAATGTTTTTGGATGGTGGTGACTACACTGCCACTATCTATTAGGCAGGTAGTTTTAACATTATTACTACCAAGGGTACAGTTGGTCTCACAAGACTCTCCTATCAACCCAGGGGGAATTTCTACTTCTAACTTAGATGGGGAATTATGGTGTTGTTGGGGCACTACTTTAGGGCGCTTGTTATTTCGGCCTCTCGTTCGCCCACTAACGGAGGTCCTTACATGTTTGGGTGATTGGGAGTTTGGGAGGGGGTTAGTGGGGATTGGGGGAAGGAGGGGGCACTCTCTATTGTCATGGCCTCCCAGGCTGCGAGAATTTCTTTTCTGCGGGCCAAATTCTTTTTCTTCAATTCCTCATTTGGGCGGTTTTTACACTCTCTCTCAAAATGATTGAATTCGCCACAATTGTAGCAAACCAGCACCCTAACTGGACAATCCCTATCGAACGAGTTTACGGGTTTAAGGGGGCCTTGCCTATTTTGAGGGGGTCTGTTTTTCTTTTGGGGGTTCCCTTGATACATCATTGGGGTAGGAGGAGGTGGTGGTGGTGTTGGTGGTGGTGGGGGTGGGGATGGGTAAGGGTGGTATGGGTTGGGCGCGCCAAGCTGCTGAGGATAGCTTTTAACAGTGCGCTTTTGGGTATATTTTGCATCACGAGTGGCTTCTGCTTCTCGGATGAGGCTAATCAATCTGTGGAATGGGGGCGCAACAATTTGTTGATGGAGATTGGTCACAGAGAGGATGTACTCATCCTGGCATCCCATCCTAAACCTATCTAAAAGTTTCTGGTCTGCCGAGTCTGGTAAAAACTCTCCTATCTCCACCAACTTGTTGATTTTTAGTTGAGTCCTCTTAAGGAAGTCTGAGGGTTTTTCCCCTTTTTCCTGGGACATGGACATGAACTCGCTAAGGAGAAGGGACTTGTTCTCCACTGCGCCATAAACATTGTCTAAAAAAGATACGAGTCCATGGGCAGTGGAGCTTGGGGAAACTTGCCTAGCAAAGTCCTTAGCAGGTCCACAAAGCCTAGTTACGATCTCGCGCCTTTTTGTCTGCTCGTCAATTGAGGCCATTGACGCAACCTCAATTGCGACATCTTTAAATGTCTCCCAGTCTACCTCGCCTTGTTTTACTGGCTCTTTTCCTGAGAAGAGGCCAAGACGGGGGAGACGTGGAGCATTAACTATGCCATGACTATGGGCAGGTGGCGGGGAAGGGGAGCTGGGGGAAGGGACAGGGGTGTGGACAGGGGGAGGGTTACCTATTGAACACCCTTTCACCAATTTTTCGAGTTGGGAAAGGGTAAGTCCAGACTCTGTCAAAAACTTACTTAAGGTGTCAGGGTCAGCACTAGAAAGTAGTTTTTCCTCATCAGGGACAAGGGAAGTGCTGTCCTCGAGAGACATGTTACAATTAATCAAATCCTTATACCAAATAAAAAAAACAAAGTAATGGTACAAACAATATATACCAAATAGAAAACAAATGCAGGTAACACGCTGAGAGAGAGCTGTTGCGACCAAGAAATATAAGAGGTAAACAACAAATAGGTTCCGGCACCTAAGAAAACAGAAGCAGACAACAACAACTTGCCAAATATGATCGAAGTAATATCATATATACTAGCAAAGAAAACAAAACAAAAACAAACTCAAAACCAAAAACCTGGCAATTGCGACTACTATACCTTAGATAGCCTTATAACCAGTTGCATCAATCAATTTAGCAGTAAACTTAAATACCATAAAAGTATCAGTTCACAATTCTCATACCAGTCTATCAGTCAAAACAAGGGGTCAAGGTCATGTCATTGTGTTAGGTTGGTAAGTCATTTAGTATGTCACTATTAAAGTAAATATTAAAGTTGTATGTCATACGATCAGGCAAGAACGTGTAACCAAACTAAAAATACAAATAGGACCAACCAAAAGAGAAAAACAATAAAATAGAAAAATATATTATAAAAACAAACAACCTCGCTCTGCTACCAATTGTAGCACCGACATTTTTGGGGTGGGGTGAGGATCATATAATAATCACACAGTTACTCATAATAGCAGCGGAAGTCTAGTACAAAATTGCATATCGGGGAACTTTTCTTTAATTAGTACCCATGCAAATAATCCCCCCTTTTATGCCGGTTACCACAGGATTCACACAAACATTACGCACACCAAGTACATCACATCAACAAACAATCAATCATACCACGAACACCGAGAACATATCACAGAACATACAGTTACACAATCAAAGCAATCACGCTCATTCAATCATTACACACAAGAGTCTGAAAATCTAAACTATTACTCATTATTTATGCGAGTATATATCGGGATGTCTTTTCCCTTTATTATTTACAACTT